CAACAGGCTTAGCCAGACTGGGCTAAAAAACCCTTTTCTTAAGTGGACTCCAAAAATCTTAGCTCATCCCTATTAAATCCCGAATTAGACCAGATCAGTCCAACGGGTCTAACCCATATTGACGGTTCTAGATGAAAGTAGGAGATGAGAGATGAAATGAAAATTAATATATATAAGAATTAAAATTCAAAAGTAAGAGAGAGAGAGAGAGAGAGAGAGAAATAAAGAAAGAAAAAGATAAAAAAAAATTTAAATGAAAAAAATATTTTAATTTAACACGTGACATGTAATGATTGGTGTGTTAATTCACTTTCTTCTTAAAATTTGGGGCTGATCAAAAAATGGTATAATAACATTTGTTTAAAATTTTTTAGTGGGGTAATATGACAATAGCAAAGTTAAAGTATTTTTATGAAAATCTGAAATAACTTCAATTGTGACTTTATGTCTTTTCTCGATTAACATTGAAGTATTAATCATTGCATGGCATGGCATGGCAAGGCCATATACACACAACACAACATGTAAAAAATATTAAGAGAAAAGACATAAAAGCACCATTAAAGTTGTTTCAAATTTTTAAAAAGACACTTTAACTTTGCGGAAATCCTACAGTATTGAATATCTTTGTAAAAGGATCATTTTGATTTATTTTCTCTCCATGTTTGTGAACACGCACATGACGCGTGTGAAGGTCCACTTTTGCTGTCAAAAATCAATTGAAAAGTGCCACGTTTTATTTACCTCATCATCTTCCTCAAATTGGATTACAATTGCCTCAAATGTGTTAAACTTAATTAATGATAGATTAAATATAATTAACAAAAATTTACCTTATCATCTTCCTCAATGATGCTTTAATAATATGAATTAGAGTTTGAGAAAAAATTTTGTTGACAAATAGAATCACAAAAAACTATTTATAATAGATGCTTTAATAGAAAATAACTCATTAAATTGACACATCTCAAAAAAATTTCAAACTAGTAATATCAAGTTCAGATCTTCGTTGACTAATCAAAAGTGAATTAAAAAAAATGGCAGTACGTGAAGAATTTGGTTAGGAAGAAAAAAAAAAGAGAATGAAGAAAGAGAACAGAGGAGGGTAATTGTCACGACCCAAATCCGGGCCGCGACTGGCACCCACACTTACCCTCCTATGTGAGCGAACCAACCAATCTAAACCTTAACATTTCAATGTAACATCAACAGAAAATGATGCGGAAGACTTAAACTCATTAATAAAAACCAATTCAATAACTATCAATATTCAACATCTATTATTCCCAAAACCTGGAAGTCATCATCACAAGAACATCTACTTTAAACTACTAATTCTAAGAGTTTTATAAAATCTAAAAACACATAAGAAGCTAGTCCATGCCGGAGGTTCAAGGCATCAAGACATGAAGAAGAAGATCCAGTCCAAGCTAGACGCATTAGCTCACCCTGAAGATCCGATGTGACGAAGACTGGCAAGAGTTACTGTTGAGTCGAAGATGACGACACGTTTGCTGCACTCCACAATTAAACAAGAAGAAAACAATAAAAGTAGGGGTCAGTACAAAGCACGGGTACTGAGTAGATATCATCGGCCAACTCAAAATAGAAAACAGTATATACCAAGTAATATCATAAAATCAACTATGATACTCAACATGTAGCAACAACAAGCACTATATCATTAACAATTACCGTCAAGTTCACACATGAGGACTCAAGCCCCAATACCATACTCATTTGGGAATCATGTTCATTAGATTGAGTATATTAACATCTTTCAAGATTCATTATCTTTATTTCTCTTGTGTCGGTACGTGACACTCCGCTCCACCATATTTATTATTCCTCTTGTGTCGGTACGTGACACTCCGATCCCCTAAATCTACGTGTCGGTTCGTGACACCCGATCCCCTAAATCTACGTGTCGGTTCGTGACACCCGATCCCCTAATTCTATGTGTCGGTTCGTGACACCCGATCCCCTAATTCTACGTGTCGGTTCGTGACACCCGATCCCCTAAATCTACGTGTCGGTTCGTGACACCCGATCCCCTAATTCTACGTGTCGGTTCGTGACACTCCGATCCACTAATATCATTCTGTAAATCATCAAGCCTTCTCTATACCAAGGCATCATCAATCCCATTGCTTTAATTCATCAAGCCTTCTTCTATACCAAGGCATCATCATTAATAATGTATATTAAAGTTTCTTTTCAAGATTTGGGATTCAATATTTTCATCATGCTTATCTTATCACAATCACATAATCATATTCATGCAAGCATACAATTAAGCATATAGCAGGGTTTACAATATTATCAATACATATCATTCTCTATTAAGAGTTTACTACGAATATCGTAAGGGAAACCATAACCTACCTCCACCGAAGAATTGGAATCAACAAGCAATCTCCCAAGCTTTGATATTCTTCTTCCTCGTTCGACTCTCTCTCTCAATCGATCAATCTATCTCCCTCTTTTCTTTTCTCTTTTCTTATTCAAAACCCCCTTTCTTTTACCCTAATTAACATATAACTAAGTGTAAAAGATGACAATAATACCCCACTAATTAAACCAAAATTACCTCTTTTATCCCTCAAGAATTTTGAGTTATTAATGTAAACCCACGAAGTCTATAATTAAGGAAAGAATAGTCCAAAACGTCCCTTAAAACGTGTAAAGAAATCCGATTCTAACTAGGATTGCGTAACCTGTGACGGGCCGTCGTGACTGCGACGGTCCGTCACTCAGGTCGTCGTGAGGGCCAGGACTTTATTTTCACCAAGGACACTGTGACGGTCCGTCACACCTGTGACGGTCCGTCCTGCAAGTCCGTTACGAAGTTCAGAGAGTCGATTTTCAGTACCCAATTTCAGAATTCCTAAGTAAATTGAAACGAGACATCTGTGACGGACCGTCGTGCCTGTGACGGTCCGTCGTGGGTTCCGTTGTTTCAGCCAATTTTCCAGAAATAAAATCTGCTGCTCAAAACGACTAAACAGGTCGTTACAGTAATGAAAAAAAAGAAGAAAGAGAATAAAGAAAGAAGAAAGAAAGAGAAAAGGGAAGAAGAAGAAAGAGAAAAAGAAAAAGAAAAAGAAAATGAAATTGATAAAATAAGAAAAATAAAAATAAAAATTAATACGTGGCAGATTATAATTGATGCGTAATTGAACTTCTTTTTTTGCAAGTGAGGATGGTTAAAAAATGAGATATTTACAACACTTTAAAATTATTTAAGGGAGTAATAAAATGTCCGCTAAGTTAAGATATCTTTTTAATAATTTAAAATAACTTTAATGGTATTTTTATATCTTTTCTCAAATATTAAACTTTTTTAGAATACACTCAATTCGCCTCAATGTCTTTTAAAATTTTGACATTATGAATATCGACATCACATGGTGCATATGCAAAAGTAATCACATTATTATTGAATAGATCTAATCTTTCATTGAGCGCTCATCCCCACATTATTAATGACATACATAAATTGGGGTAGCTAATTAATTAAGTTAGATAAAGACATTTGTGCCTGTTTAGCATTGCTCCTAAAAATGCTTATTTCTTGAAGCACTTTTTAAAAATAGTTTTTTTTTAAAGAAAAAAAACATTTGTATTTTCTTAATTAAGTTGAGAAGTACATTCGATAAGAAAATTGTATTTGACTAATTTTTTGAAAAATATATTTTTGGAGAATCAAGTTACAAAATGACAATTATCAATGAAATTTTAATCTTAGGTTATTTTATAAAGAGAAAATTTTGTATGTATCAATTACAAAAATATATTAATTAAATTAAAATGTACAGGTTCAATTTTTGCTCAATATTATACATAAATAGATCAATTAATTAATTAAATATTGAAATAAACAAATAAATCATTCCTTCATAATTTCAATCCTACAAAAATTTTTGTTGCCTTTACTTCTAATTTTGTATAATAATACATACTTTCTCCATCTCATTTTAAGTGAGGTAGTTTGACTCGATATGAAATTTAAGAAAGGAAGGAAGTCTTTTAAGATTTATGGAATAAAATGAATGACAGAAATCTATGTCGCTATAAATAATTTCATTAAGAATAAAATGAATATTTTGAAGTTAAATTGTTACTTAATATAGAAATGCGTTATTCTTTTTGGAATTGACTAAAAAAAATAAATAAATCATATAAAGTAGGACAACATGAGTAATATGTAAAACATAACTATAAAAATATAAATATACAATATAAAAATTAAATAAATGAAAAATTTATTATAGAAAATAAAAAAATTAAAATTTTTGAAAGTAACTTAACCAAACATAGAAGTAATTAATAACAGATATATTGATATGCATATATAGAAGTGATATTTTAGTTTTTCGAAAAAAATAATTTTTTTCTCTTTTGTTTCTGCTTCTTTGAAGAAGTAAAATTTTAGCTTGTTCCCAGGAAAATAACAATGTCATAAAGTCTCTTTATATAATATGATATTAATCCCTTTGAAACAAACTTGTAGACTTAGACACACATAGTTAAAAGTACATCCTTACAGCTAGATATATATGCTGTTTAATCAATTATTTTTAGTGTGGGGCTTTGCTTGGAAATGAAATGATTTTTACGAGAGCAGATGACTTGAATAAAAGTAAATATTAGTGTAGGACCAAACTAGCCCACTATAATTTGTAGGCATGATACGAGATAAGACAAAATAAATTATGAAACATTGGTGAAATTTACGTGTAGCTACCAACTACATGACATCAAATTTAACTAAACCTTTCTACTCTTTTTAATTTTATTATATTATTTGGGCTATACAAAATAAGAAAGAAAAGGAAATGGAGAAATTGGACACGGATAATTGCTAGGAAAATGGTAGGGTCTCATTTGTGAGTGTCGAGTTTCACTATCCGTGTCCAATAAGAAAGAAAAGGAAATGTATTTATTATATTATATTCTCATTAATTGCTAGGGTCTCATTTGTGAGTGTCGAGTTTCACTATTTAATTTTAAACGATTTCATTTAATTATTTAAGTGGTTTAGGGATTAGTGAGGGATTAAAGGGAGAGTAATTAAGTTTATTAATCTCAATATAAATACCCTCAACCCTCATTAACCTAAATACAACTCTCAAAATAAACTCTCTTCCATCCCGTTTATTTCTCTCTCTAAATGAACTCATCATCTAAGGCTAGCAAGAAATAGGGTTTGGGGGCTGGAAAAAAAAAGGTGGATCCGTCATCAAATTTTTGAGAAATACTAAGGTATGGGTTCTACTAACCTTTGAGATTCTTTCCTAAAAGGGTTCCTTCAAAATAGATTTCAAAAAGTTGAGTTATCTTTATGGTTTATTTCAATTACGAAGTTGAAGTCATGGATTGAGCTTTTAATGTTTTCTTAGGGTAATATTGAGTATATTAACATGTAATTGAACTTGTTTATGGTAATTTTTGACGGTTTGGTCTAAATTGTAGAATATTATCCTCTATGGCCTAAATTAAGTTATGAATGATAATTAAACACTTAAAGACATTTCAAAAAGGGACTCAAGTTTAACACAGAGTGAACTAGATAGAAGAGTGTCCCTTCCCACATAGGGAAGGTAGGAAAACTACATTACTCTTGATATTGGAGACTATAATGCATGGAACATAAAGAGGGTCCCCACCATATCTCCTAGTTCTTGAACTACATTTCTCCTATAGGATTACTATCTAGTGGATCTACGTAGTTGCTATGTTTTATTTTCTGGTACTACCTTGGAAAGTTGTCCACCTTCTTTCAGTGTAGGGTTTTATGACACCGCATTCCACACTTGCTCATGTGGTCTATGTCGGTTAGGGAAAGATGTTCCAGAAAGGTAAAACGAATTAAAAGAATTGAACTCTAACTTGGATAACCTAAGATGTGTAGATTATACTACGTACGAGTATGGGACTCACCTGGACATTGCACTAGTTATCCTTAAGGGGAGTCTTAGGAGGAGGTTCTTATGTATGTTTATGTTATGACTATATATGATGTAAATATGATGACCATGGCACGTTGTTGATACTATATGTTTATTAGTTCATTTGTGAATATGCCTTGGGGTAAATTGATAATACACGATGAAATGCAAGCCTATACGATATGATATGTAAAGTTTGACATTGGTCATGTTCTCTTGTTGATGCTACTTGATTGAGTAAGGTTATGAGGCTTTTCTTGGTCATTACACTTGTTGACTTGATAAGGACGTGTGACTAGTTGTCTTGCTTATTATGATATGTTTAACTCTTATTCATTCTTGTGAAATTATTCCTTGATTTTAGGGTTGTAGTAAATCGTGGTTTCAAGTGTGTTGGAATAAGTATTACTTGTTGAGATAGTAAGCATGTTTGGTTGATTAATATGACTTACCTGACTTTGCATTAAACCCCTAAAGGGGTAGAATGACATGCTTTAATAGAAAGTCCCTTTTAGCATGTTTTGCTTGTGTATGTGCATAAGATCTCATACTTAGTACACGTGGAGTACTAAGCCCATTTTTCTTCCCTTTTCCTAAACATTATAGGTTTCGGTCATGGAAGAGTTTCGAGGGCGATATTGTCGAAGGCTTGGATTCTTCCTTTCATCCAAGTGGTGTAAGTCCTCAACTTTCCAAGGAAATGCAATCTTTTAGCTTTGGATTTTGTTATGAGATTGTAGACTCTATCATTTCTTTCCTTGTTATTTGAATATTGTACTATCATATGACCTATCCATGGTCTTGTTGAATTTATGTAAGGGATATGCCCATATTGTGATATCCTTTTAGATGGTATCAGACGAGACAATCTTTGAGTCTATTTTTATATTTATATATATATATATATGTGTGTGTGCATATAAAGCAGAAGGCTATGTAACATTCCTATATTAAGGGTCTATATATACTTGATATGAATATATATTATCTGTATGTAGAGGTCTATGTAAACCACTAATATATATTATGTGTATTTGGAGATCTATGTAAACCTCCAAGTATAGATAATAAAAGTTTTCAAATTTTCCGCATTTTCAACCTATGAATGTAATGACATGAAATTAAGAGGCTAGTCTTAGTCCTTTAAAAAGGACAACGACGCCGTTTACGTCTAGGGGGTAAATTAGGATGTGACAAACTTTATATCCGAGCATGAGGTTGATTACCATTCCGTTATATCTCTCTCTCTCTACAACGTCTATGTAGGTTTGTATTCATAATTGTGTACCACACTTATGAGTAGAAACCTATATGATGCTTAGGAATCCTCTCGTTCTTGGAAATCTTATATCATTCCAATAGATTATACTTTTGGTGTGCCTTGCATCTAATCCTATTGTTGTGCTTATAGGAAGCATGATCACTCGAAGGAATGCGGCTTGAAGACTTGAGGAAGAAGTTGCTAATGCGAGAGATCCTCCCATGATGATCCGGCTAACCCTCCACCATGACTACATAAGCACAAGCCACAACGGTTCAAGACCAAGCTTTGACGTCTCAAGCAAATCTAGATGTTTCTCCCCTTCCTCATCAACAAGTCACAACTATGTCTTTTCATCTAAGGTACTTCACTCGAATGAACCCTCTTACTTTTTATGGGTCTAAGGTTGATGAACACCCCCAAGAATTCCTTGATGAGGTCTAGAATGAGCTATATGATATGGGGCTAACTTCAAGTGACAAGGCTGAGTTGGCCTCATATCAACTCAAAAATGTGGCTCAAACTTGGTATGTGCAATGGAGGGATAATAGGGAGTTGAGGGGAGGTCCGGTAACTTGGGAGATCTTTATGGCAGCTTTTATACGTTGGTTCCTAGAGAGATGAGGGATGAGAAAGTGACGGAGTTCAACAATCTTTGACAAGGAGGGAAGAGTGTTCATGAGTACTCTTTGGAATTCGTTAAGATGTCCAAATATGCTCCTTCTTCAGTCTCCAATCCTAAAGACCAAATGAGCCATTTTCTGACGAGGGTGTCGGAGGAGTTACAAGAGGATTGCCAATCGGCAATTCCACATGACAACATGAATACTTCCCGTATTATGGATATGCAAGAAGGATTGAGGAGGAAAGACCTAAGCGAAAAATTATAGATGGTAAGAGGGATAGGTCATTTGATGGGGGATCCTCAAAGAATAGGCATGAGATACAAGATAAGCATAAATTTAAGAAGTGGGGTTCGAATCAAGTCCCTTCAAAAATCCCAAGATCTAGTGGTGATAGGGTGTCTAACCCAAATTCAATAAGGGAAAAGGTAATAATTCACCAAAGGAGAAACAAACTTGTTGAAAGTATGGTAAAAAGCACTATGGTGAGTGCCTTAGGGGGACAACTAATTGCTTTAGTTGTGTTAAGAGTGGTCACAAAATGAGAAATTGTCTAAACTTGTGGAGTCAAGACAAGGGTTGTGGCAAAGCTCAAGCAAGTTGTTCTAGTGATTCTCCAAAGAAGAACCACTTCTATGCTATCCTCTATAGGGGTAAGCAAGAGACCTCTCCCGACATGGTGACCGGTAAGTTAAAAATGATTACTCTTGATGTGTATGCTTTAGTTTACCCAGGTACTACATTGTCCTTTGTTACACCTCTAGAAGCTAAAAAGTTTGATGCTTTACCCAATATTTTGCATGAGCCTTTTCTAGTGTCTACTCCGGTGGGAGAGTCGGTTGTTCCTAAAAGAATCTATCAAAATTGTCCTATTTCATTACCCAATAGTGTTTCTTATGTTGATCTAGTAGAACTCGATATGCTTTATTTTTATACTATATTGGGTATGGATTTGTTGCATGCATGTTTTGCATCCATTAGTTGTAGTACAAGAGTGGTGAGGTTTAACTGCCCAAATGAACTCGTTGTTGAGTGAAAGGGGGGAAATTCTATTCCTAGGGATCACATCATATCTTGTCTAAAATAATGTAAAATAATCTCAAAGGTTTGTCTCTATCACATAGTAAGAGTCAAATATTTGAATTCGAAATTCCTCCTATTGAGTTGTTCCCCGTAGTAAATGCATTTCCGGATGGTTTTTCTGATGACCTTCCCGGTATTTGTCCTGAGCAGGAAATTGATTTTTGTATCAATTTGCTACCGGAAACAAATCCCATTTCAATCCCTCCATATAGGATGGCTCCGGCCGAATTGATAGAGTTGAAGTCTCAACTAAAGGATTTGCATGACAAAGACTTTATAAGGCCTAGTATATCTCCATGGTGTTTTCTGGTGTTATTTCTCGAAAAGAACAATGGGTCTTGGAGAATGTGTATTAATTTCCGCCAACTCAACATAGCCACCATTTCAAATAAGTAACCTCTCCCTCGGATTGATGACATATTTGATCAACTCCAAATGGCGAGTTACTTTTCAACGATAGACTTCAGGTCGGGGTATCATCAACTCAGGGTAGGAGGGGCGGATATACTGAAGACGACCTTTTGAACTAGGTATGGGAATTATGAGTTCTTAGTCATGTTTTTCAGTCTCACTAATGCTCCGACGGCACTTATGGACCTAATGAATAGATTATTTGTAAATTACCTAGATTCATTTGTCGTTGTCTTCATTGACGATATCTTGATAAACTCGAACGATGAGGATGATCATATGGGTCATTTGAGGGTAGTGTTGCAAACCCTTTCACAATATCAATGGTATTCCAAATATAGTAAGTGTGACTTTTTGTTGAGATCGGTGAATTTTCTTAGGCACATCATTACTGGTGAGGGAGTTGAAGTAGACCCAAACAAAACGGAAATGGTAAAAAATTGGCCTAGACCATTGACTCCGACTCATATTAGGATTTTCTTGGGCTTAGTGGGTTACTATCGGAGTTTGGTGGAATGTTTCGCGTCCATTACATCTCCTATGACTACTTAAACTCAAAAGAGTAAAAAGTTTGAGTGGTCAGAGGTGTTAGAAGAGCTTCCAATTGTTGAAAGATAGGCTCACTTCCGCTTCGGTGTTGAACTTACCGGAGGATACAAAGGGATTTGTGGTGTATTGTGATGCATCGCAAGTGTGTTTAGGGTGTGTGATTATGAAAAACGGGAAGGTGATAACTTATGCCTCTAGGAAACTAAAGGTACATGAGAGAAATTACCCTACTCATGACTTTGAATTAGTAGTGGTGGTGTTTTCTTTGAAAATTAGGAGGCATGACTTATATGGTGTTCATGTGTATGTTTTTACTGATATAAGAGTCTCCAATATGTGTTTACGCAAAAGGAGTTAAATCTCCGACAAAGAAGGTGTCTTGAATTTTTGAAAGATTATTATACGAGTTCCTTTATCACCTCGGGAAGGATAATGTAATGGAGGATGCCCTAAGTTAGATGACTATGGGTAGTGTATCGCATCTTGATGAAGCCAAAAAGTACCTAGCAAGGGAAGTTCATAGGTTGGCTAGGTTAGAGGTGAGGTTTGAGAGTTTTCTAGATGGGGGTGTCATAGTTCATTATAACTCTAAGTCATCTTTAGTGTTTGATGTGATGTCCAAACAACACCTTTATTTAGCCTTTATGGAGTTGAAAGAATCGGTTCTTGGCAAGTTGAATGAATCATTCTCTTTAGGGGGGATGGCGTATTAAGGTACCAAGGGAGACTATGTGTTCCCGATGTAGATGGGTTGAGGGATAGGATCTTATAAGAAGCACATGGGTGATGCTAGTCAATTCATCCGGGGTCGACAAAAAATGTATCATGACCTAAGGTAAATATATTGGTGGAAAGGTCTAAAAAGGGACATGAAGGAACTTGTCGCTAAGTGTCCGAAGTGCCAACAAGTAAATGCTGAACACCTAAAGCCGGGTAGCTTACTACAAGATATCCAAATTCCAACTTGGAAGTGGGAAGACATCAACATGGACTTTGTAGTAGGTTTACCCCGAACCTAAAAGTCCTATGATTTCGTATGGGTAGTCATGGATGATGAACTAAATCCGCTCGCTTTATAACCGTCAAGTCTTCATATTAAGAGGAAGATCATGTATGAATCTTCCTAGATGATATTGTGTGCCTCCATGGAATTCCATTATCCATTATATTGGATCGGGTGCCCAATTCATATCTAGATTGTTGAGGTAGTTCCAAAAAGGGTTAGGTACTAAGGTGAAGTTGAGCACCGCTTTTCATCCCCAAACGAATGGTCAAACAGAGTGTACGATAAAAACTCTTAAAGATATGCTTAGAGCATGAAATATTGATTTTAAAGGGAGTTAGGATACGCATTTACTTTTAGTGGAGTTTACCTATAACAATACTTTTCATTCATCCATTTCGATGGCTCCTATGAAGCCTTGTGTGGTAGGAGGTGTAGATCCCTATTGGATGGTTTGAAATGGGTGATCCATTTCTTGGTCCAGAGTTGATTTATAAGACTTTTGAAGTGGTTCATATCATAAAGAACCGATTGCAAATAGCGTATAGTCGGCAAAAGTCTTATGCCGATAATAGTAGAAGGGATTTGGAGTTTGAAGAAGGTGATAAATTGTATTTGAGAATTTCACCAATAAAAGGGGTGGTTAGGTTTTGCAAGAAAGAGAAATCGAGTCCACGTTATGTGGGTCCCTATAAAATCTTGCAAAGTGCTGGTAAGGTATCCTATGAATTGAAACATCCTAGTGAATTGGTTTTGGCTTATACGGTTTTCCATGTTTCTATGTTGAAAAAGTGTATCGATGATCCCAAGTTCATTCTTCTTATTGAGGGTCTTGGTGTTAAGGATAACCTCTCTTATGAGGAAGTTCCAGTTTAAATTCTTCATAGGCATGTGACGAAGTTGCGGAATAAATAGGTGGTTTCCATAAAGGTGTTATGGAAAAATCATCTAGTTGAGAGTGAAACATGGGAGGCTGAGGCCGACATGAATTCCTGTTACCCTCATCTTTTTCAGAATTAAGGTTAGTCATTCTTTTTAATAATATAAA